TCATATGTGTAAAAATTGAAATATTTTGGGATTAATCAATAATGCTGTTTTTTAAGCTCCTATACATGGGAGAAAATATCCCTAACTCCGCAAGTAGAATTTCACAGCTAGTCAGAAAAAAAGTTCATCAAGAACCATTAGAAGTTCTGCGTTTTTTTAATTTCTTGTTACAGGTAAAATGTGCCTAATGAAGACAAAAAGCTAGCACTTCAATGGCAGAATCCAATATCAACCTATTTAAATTTACTGTACACATCGGCCATAACCACAATGTAGGATTCAGTTTCTGTCGTTTACACTGTTTATAAATCCACTCAGTGAAGTTCTACCTCCCTCTGACTGCAGCCAGCCAGGACATCCCAACTCCCTTCAAGCTTACTTAGTTTATAGTGCAGTGCAATGATTGAGGTATACAGTATCTATCTGTGTGTGTGTGTGTTTGAACACTCCCATGATTAGTGTTCTCAGTGACTGGCTGGCTGATGGGGTTGATTTGTCCAACAGTGCTGTGTGTCAGGCAGGCTCAGCGTCCGCACTGGAGAACATGAGTGAAGGAGCAGATAATTGATAGTGACAAGGCGCTCCCAGCCTTAATTGCTGCTGGAGAATTAGATTACCTTTTCAAAGTGCCTTCATTAGCAGAGGGAGAGCCATACCAATGGTCCCCTGATTGGCCTCATATTGTTTTGTTGTGAAACCTGCTCTGGCAGGACACAAACGTGTGTGTTTTTTAGGGGGTGTGTGTACGTGTGTTTGTTTTGATTGAATTCAAATTGCTTGCTAATTTTTATGTACAGTTGATTGTGTGTCCTAGTTTGCATGTTGTGCAACTCCATTGTCAATAACATCAAGTGACACAATGTTAGGTGGGGGTTGTTTCTATAGTATATGAACAATGATGGAATCGTGAAACAGACTGTGGATCATCTTAGATTTATTCAGCCATGGTCAGACAACACACATGGCTGACAAAGTGCAGACCATCGCTGACCCATGCTGACCAAGATCTCAAAATCATTGACAATCATTGACAATCATTGGCCAAGTCTTCATCTTCACAGTGTTGCTTATATTCTGCTAGAAGGTACATCCCACAAATTCCTGGCTGCTTCGGTTCATCTCTAAAAGACTAGAAAGAAGACATCACCTTGACTCTTAAATATCAGACATATACATTTCTTCAGTCTCAGAGTCACATTTCCTTCTCTGCTCACAACAGACACTTCAATCCAAATATAACTCTGCTGCTATGAGGTCTCTAACACATATGTATTACAGCTTCACAAACCTAAAAGAAGAAGATGGTTGACACAATTTAAAGATATATCCACAAAATTATCAAGATGAATAAATCCATGAAAACACGGTTAGCAACGAACATTTTAAAATGACTATTTTCACAATTTTAATTTCCCCCCCAAAACATCACACACCCAAAAACAACAATTGAACAGATGCTCTGTGCGTTTCCTTCCTTGTCTGACTGGCTGTCATATTCTGTCCAGCTTGGATTCTGTTAAAAAAAAAAAAATACCCTCCCTTCCCCTGGTATCTCCACCCATGGACTCCAGCCCCATCCTTGAATATAACTTTCCATTTTTATTCTTGCTACAGAGAAGTGATGTCTACTGGGAAAACTGCATTTAAAGAGACACACACACCAAAAAGGGAGCATTCTGAGAGAGCTGGTTTATACAGGGTCACAAACCTCCTCTGGTGCTTGATTCATGTTATATTTTGACCAAAGCACAGCACAGATGTTTCATTTAGACCACAGGAGACTGTTTGAAAAGGTGGAGAAGGGGGATAAAGACAAAGACAAATGTCTCAAAAGACAAGGATCCACAGGCTGCTGCTGATGGTTCAGCCTCTGTCTTGCATGGGTACACCCTGCCATCATTGTATGTAATGGTTATTTTAACTTGAGCACTGCAGGAATGCTGTCCACTTTTAACAGCTCTCTCGTCTCTGGTTAAATATTCTGCCAAAAAGGGGCTTGGACTTCAATTGTACATGATCATAAAACTAATACTTAAAGCTGGCATGTACCCATGTCTTTAAGAAAATGGCCAAGCTGAACCTGACAGGTACCGACAAATTTTAAAAAATGGACTCATGCTGAGACACCAAGCTATGATTTTACAGTAATTCATCCATTACTGGCCATTAGCTTGACAGAGCACTTATAACACAGTAGGAACATGGGTAGAGACTGACAGGAGAGAGAAAATCTGTTCAAATTTAAAAAATGATACTCAAGCCCTATTCATGGGGATCTTGATTCTAGGCCCAACTACTATAACAAGACCTCTGTCAGTCTGTAGAGCTGAGTACAATAAACATTTGGAGACAGGTGTTTCATTGTTAATAACAGGGCCAGAACTTCCAACTGGTGGAAACCTTTGATGAGTTGAGAACATTAGTGAGAGACCACCCTGTCTGCTCTCAGCCACAGGATCAGCACCATGGAGAGCACCACTGAACATCTCAACAGTGTGGTTCCAGAAGTAAAAATCGTAAAAATCCAATTTGTTTTCAACGTAGCGCAATGGGTTGTGGGATGTGTAGTTCCTTGACTCTGAATTTGTATTCATGTACACAGACTTGTAAGTTTGCCTTTCTCTTTTTGCGCTAAACAAATGTATTAAGGTCAAGAATATTGGGGTAGCTGATTGTCTTGGTTCCAGGCTTCAATCTGTTGATATAATAATTTTGTGACATGTTAATGGAACCAGAGCAGCCTAAAAAGTGGGCGGTCTCTGTTGAGTTGTTTTTTTTTACTGATTTATTCAATCAGATACAGACAAGATTTCTGAACAAAGACATGTTTTTAAGTAAAAATTGCCTTATTTAAATGACAGCCCCTGCAAATGAAATTCTTTACAACTTTGTAGTAGTGACTTGGAAGGAGAAATCTTGGAGAGGGTACAACCTGAAATGATAGATACACTTAAAGGCTAATGCTAAAAATATATTGTTGGTTGAAACCAACCATTTCTATGATCTCTATTTTATCTTTTAAGCTTGTTCCATTTTGTGTCCAGTCTGTAAGTCTACAAGTTCATTTTATAATCTCATCATTACTGATATTTCAGATGAGATCGGGTATTGGTCATGATGTGGCTGATCAACACTAAGTACATTTTCTTTGCAATGTAATGAAATGTTGTGTCTCTGCTCTCAGTAGGATTGTCAGACTTTACACTCTGATTCAGAGCTAAAGCCATACCAAGCCTAACTTTGATAATCAAATAAGGATAATATGGAAAAGTAAGCATTGGTATCAGATTGGTACCGGTACTCTAAACCGGCTAAAAACCCAGAGGTAATGTAATGGAATTTGTGTCTGTAAAAGGTGCATCACTACATCCCTTTTCTTTAGTCCATCCATCTTTCCAAAGTCCAAAATAAGTGTTTGAAGTAATTCCAAAAGGGATTTTTTTTTGTCCTATTGAGATTAAAGGAAAGTTAGTAACAGCTTTTATGCAGCTGGTTAGGCCAGTAATACAATTAACATCATACATGCTAAGGAAAGGAAACAGAATGGATTCTTCAGAGAGCCATCACTTTGAGTACAGAAGGATTCTGATTCCATACAGAGACGGCAACATGAGCATCTTCTGTCTCAATCCAAAAGTCCATAGTCCCAAGAACCCCCCCCCCCCCACACACACACACACACACACGTTCTCAAAGAACCGACTGGCATCCCTATCCTGTCTCATGCTTCATCCCTGCCCCAGCTAGCCTGCGGCCCCCTGCTCAGTTAAATGGAGTGTGCTGGCGTCAGGGGAGCAGCCAGCATTACAAACTTACTGTGTGATTATTGTCAGAGTGAGACTCCTCCACCCAGGAGGTCTGCACTGATGGATACTATGTCACTGGGTGAAGCCTGCCATGCAGGGTGGAGTGAGAAAGGGATGAAAAACTGGGGTGAGAAAAGGACTCAGACAAGGAAGAGATATACTGTTGGTGAGGGAGATGGAGAAGAGGACCAGGGATCAAGGGAGGATAGATAGAAATAGATAGTAGGAGGAAGGGAAGAAGCAGGAGGGCAAAGAATCATCAAAGGGAAGAAAAAGCCAAGCATGAGCAATGGAAGACTGATGTATACCTATCTCAGCAGACAAAGACAAGGGAAGACACACAGGGAGTGATATAAAGAGGAGAGAGCAGAAGAATAATGTGCCGGGAGAAGAAAGAGAGGCAGCAGGGAAATCAGTAGAGGAGAGAGAAAGAAGGAAAGACAGGGAGGGTGGATAGAAAAGAAAGGTAAAGAGAGAAATTAGAGAGAAGAATTCCAAGCGCGTGATGTGTGCTGTGATTGTTTTTCTTTCTCTCTCCTGCTCTCTCTCCTTCTCTTGCTCTAAACGGTCGGGATGTGGCCTGTATCTGCCGGCAAGAGGGAACTCAATTTGGGACAATTTACTCGGCAGTCTCAGCCCTGATGCACCTCAGGGACAGAGAATAGAGAGAATGAATGTGAAGGAAGATAGAATCAGCAAGCCCTACACACACACACACACACACACACACACACACACACACACACACACACACACACACACACACACACACACACACACACACACACACACACACACACACACACACACACACACAAAACACCCATGTACACATACACAATGTTCGCCTGGCACACAATTGCTGCCGAGTAGATTTCACTTAGTTAGTTCTAACTCTCCCAGGTGGTCAATGTGATGTGAGTTTATAAGGCTTGGAAATGAAAAGCCCAGGATAAGGTTAGATAAACTGTTTCGCAATTTGATTTCAGTCCACCTCTGGCAGAAAAACCCACACAAGACATGTGGCCAGAGGGGATAGGCTACTATCATGTTGGTCATATGGGTGATCAAGGTTGAATATATTATCACTGATGATGCATTCTTCAATAGAAGTCAGTAAAAATCCATTGAAATATATGACACACTTTATGTTGACATTTTTTTATTTCTCCACTTTTTGTTTTTTGCCAACAGATTGGCTGCCTGGATGGTCTGTACACCCTTAGAGACAGTGGGGGGCGCCATGACAGTTCCACCTTTGAGAATGTCCTTGCAGCTGCAGTCGGCGTAAGTATTTTTATTGTTCATTTATCACTATTGCTAAATAGAACACCTATAATACGTTAGGTTTTAGGAAGTGGATGAAGCCACAGGCTCTCTAAAGAAGCGACTCTGAGGTTGTTTTTTTGGCCCAAGTCACACTGTCTGTGTAACACAGCGGGAAATGGATTTGTAACTACAGCAAATCAGAGTGTTCAGCTGCTTAGACGTGACTGTTTGATACATTTAACACGGCCACGTCAAGGTGAATTCACACTCTGGCATGGGGACTGATTTTACACAGCATGTATATGCAAATGGAAGTTCATTTGGCTGGCGTTGCTGTTTTAATCAGGGTCTGGTGTTGATTAGCGAGACGGATGAAAAAAAGACTAACAGAGCTATGTTATGAGTAATGGTTGAAAGTTGTTTACCTTGCTTGAGTAGCTCTTGCCTCTTCCACCCAGTATCACTTTGTCGCCCCCTCCCTCACCACCTTCAATGAGCCGCTCTGCATCACCCTTGGAGCACATAATGCAGCCTTCTAACCGGGCTTTCGTTGCCAGGGAAACCTTCACCCACGGAGACATCCCATGACAGCACAGGGTGAGGGGGGGATGGGGTGGGGGTTGGGAGAAGGGTCAGAGATGCAGCTTTGGCCCTGTCCTTTCTCCAGGGTGCGTCAGACCTCTGGCCCCTCCACAACACACTCTGCCTTCAGTGACACAAACAAACAAAATGCAAAATGCGACAGCACATTTATACACACAGGAAGACAGACATGCATGTACCAAATACACAGGCAAGAGCAGGAAAGGGACTGGATAGAAAGAAACGTTGAAATGGATACAAAACTTTCTGATTCACAGTTATCATCTGAATCATTGTGCGTGTGATTAATTGAAGTAATTTATGGGCCATCTCCAGTGACTCCAAGTATGGTTCATGATTTCATTACACTGTAACTTTAATTACTTTTCTACCATCGTAACTTAAGGTAAAAATAAGTTTGAAACCAAAAAAAACTTCCCACATTAAGTAATGAGGTTTACATTTAATGGATTGCACAGATTATGTTTTTGGATAATGAAGAATTACATCCTGAGACGATTCATTTCCTTACACGCAATGTTGCATCCTTGAATGCCTTGCATTGAAGTCTGCCTGTTGGCTACATTTTTTTGTGTTCTTACTTTAAACACTGTTGAACAAAGTATCTTTTACTACTTAGCTGAACCCATCTGCAAAACCTATTTATTTGGGAAGACAACGATTTAACCCATCAGACTAATACAGACTGTCACTTTGGCTGAAACCAGTCTATGTTGTAGTATGTATATAGAAAATGTATTTATGGGGGGTTGGGGATTATATGTTGGCAAACATAATTACAGTGTGTGAGCTACTGTAGCTGGCCTGCTGCCAAAGCTTTAGATATACTCCAGCCGCCCACCTCTGACCATGCCTCTGTCTATGAAAACGTGTGCTGCTTTCACAGTACATCACACACTGTACTTTGTATTGCATGGCAGGTGGAACACATTACAGAGCTCTCTAATTATGGCACCATGCAAGGTTTAGTAAGCTGCAACATTGAGGCCTAAGTGACTTAGTGAATTTCTTTATAAATTATATGCCCAGATAAAAGCACTATGGCACATTGACAAGGTACATAACAATCCATAAAACACTAGTGATTACATTAAGTCTCTGTGGGTTTCATTTGTTTAAAAATGACTGACATTGACAATGACAGAGTCACCGATGCATTGTTGTTGAACAAATCATTTTAAGATAGTGTTATCGTGCACTAGATTGTTGTGCAATAATTACAGTGTGTTATTCTGCAGCCACAGGCCTCTGTAAAATTTTGAATTTCAAAAGAAAGCACTTATTGAAAAACTCCTATCTGGCTAAATCATGTTGGAAACACTATTTGAACATCGGGAGAGACGGGTTGCATCCACTGAAGCCAGAGTTCAAGGTCAGACACCTGCCATGCTATGGCTATCATGTTGATATATTTACTGATGTCTGCATCAGAAGTATCAAAATCCTTAGATTTAATCAACTATTGAAAAAGTGACATGCTCCGAAAAAGAAAGATATCCATGTGACCTCTATCCTCACTATAACATAGTAAATTGAACAGAAATGTTTAATCAGTTCTTGCCAAGCAAACATGATTTGGAAAGAACACTTTTTAGATGGAAAAAAAAATCACACTTATCCATGAGCATTTGACCAAATTACACTGTCTCAAGCAAATTAAGTTTAGGTTTAAGCCTTCACAACAAGGCCTTAAAAAATGGAGGACAGTTTTAACATTTACAGCTACATGAGTATGAAATCCTAATTCTGAGATGAAATTGTCCACGAAATGCCCCTAAAATCTTCTACACAAAAGAATATAATAGATGGTTTAGAGTTATATTTAATATTATAATGTTGTTACCTTGCTGGGCTGACTATTGAGTCCTGTCTTTATAGAGATGTCGGACCACTGCCTTCTATTTATAATAGATATTTAAATCACAAAAATACATCGACATCAACTCTTTATAAAAATACTGTTAAATTGTTTTGAAAAAAGTATTTCAAAGTGAGTAATCTGCACTTCTGGAGCTCATATTAAGGAGGAGGTAACAGTGTCAGAATACTCAGCTCTGACTGAGTTAAAGGAGTCCATAGGCATGTTGTTGTCATTCTTGCATGTGCAGAGCTGTATACTTTAACAACCTACTGCCAGCAAAGCAGCAATCAGCTGTTGCATTAACTGCTAATGACATAATTAGCAAGGCTGTGGTAAAACAGCCCAATGCAATTGTGAAACTCAGAGATGACAAAGGCCACTATAAACACATATGCACATTTACACAGCTTGCAAACAGTTCAAATCAAATCTGTAAACAGACACAGCCCGAGTTATACTCTTAACGCATCCCAGACTCCGCCGTTCAGCTTGAACAATTCACATGCTACCGTTCGGACAGAATCCTTATTAAAGGAGGAAAGAAGAAAGGTGGTGGAGTCTGTGTTTACATCAGTGATGCTTGGTGTCGAGATGCTGCTGTGGTATGTAAACACCTTGCCGGTCGCTGTATATATTCCCCCACCACCAACAACGCTGATAGAATCGACGCACTTTGGGAACTTTACAACGCCATCAGTGAGCAACAGACAGCCCACCCAGACAGATTTTTTTATCATCGCTGAGGATTTTAACCATGCAAATCTCAAGACGGTTTTACCCCACTTCCACCAACACGTGACCTTTCCCACAAGAGAAGGTAACATTCTGGACATGATTTACACATCAGTTAAAGGTGCTTTCAAAGCTTCACCCCTCCCCCACATCGGCCACTCTGACCATATCAGTGTAATGCTAATGCCAGTTTACAGACCCAGGGTTAAAGTCACCAAACCAGTTCTGAAGCAGGTACGTGTGTGGCCAGAGGGGGCCTCTGCTGCACTACAAGACTGCTTTGATCCCACAGACTGGGAGATGTTTAAGCAGGCAGCCACCTACAACAACCACACAGACATTGAGGAGTATTCTGACACTGTTACCTCCTACATTAGCAAATGCATTGCTGATGTCACCACACCAGAACCATCACCACCCGGGCTAACCAGAAGCCATGGCTGACAGGAGAGGTACGCGGCTACTGAGGGCCAGGAACACCGCCTTCAGAGCTGGGGACAGCCTGCCTGAGAACAGTGAGGGCCAACCTGTCCCGTGGCATCAGGAAAGCCAAACGCAGCTACACACTAAAAATAACCGGACACTTCAAGGACAGCAGAGACGCGCAGAGCTGTGGCGTGGTATCCAGACCATCACGGACTACAAACCCAAGCCACAGACCTGTGACAGCAACACCTCTCTGCTGAACGACTCAACAGCTTCTTTGCCAGGTTTGAAGACACAACAGCACGCCCCCACAGAAGACCACCCCCCTCCCCACGACCAGACCCTGTGCCTGACTGCAGCCAGCGTGAAGAGAACCTTCTCCAAGATCAACACCCGCAAGGCTGCAGGTCCAGACAACATTCCTGGCCGTGTGCTGAAGGACTGTGCAGAGGAGCTCAAAGATGTCTTCACAGACATTTTCAACGCTTCTCTGAGTCAGGCTGTTGTTCCGTCGTGCTTCAAAGCCACCACCATCATACCCGTTCCAAAGATCTGCTACAACTCGGGGAGCTGCCACCTGCAGAAGTTCTCAGATGACACAGCCATCGTGGGGTGTGTGTCTAAGGGGAACGAACAGGAGTACAGGCAGGTCATCATGGACTTTGTCGACTGGAGTGAGCTCAACCACCTTCAGCTCAACGCCAGCAAGACAAAGGAGATGGTGATTGACTTCCACAGGAAGTCACCCCAGACTGCACCGGTGAATATCCAGGGCTTGGACATAGAGAGGGTGGAGACGTACACATACCTGGGTGTTCACCTCAAGAATAAACTGGACTGGTCACACAACACCGACGTCCTGTACAAGAAGGGCCAATGTCGACTTCACCTGCTGAGTGACTGAGGTCCTTTGGTGTGCAGGACTCTGCTACGGACATTTTATGACACTGTGTGGCGTCTGCACTTTTCTATGCAGTGGTCTGCTGGGACGAGGGAGCACAGAGAGAGACAGAAAGAGACTGAACAGACTGGCAGAAGGCCAGTTCTGTCTTGGACTGTCCTCTGGACTCTGTAGAGGAGGTGGTGAGAGGAGGATGTTAGTGAAGCTGACATCCATCATGGACAACCCCTCTCACCCCCTGCATGACATTGTGGGGGCCCTGAGCAGCTCCTTCAGCAGCAGACTCAGACACCCACCCTGCAAGACAGAGCGCTACCACAGGTTGTTCATCCCATCTGCCATCAGACTCTTTAATCTGACTTTTTAATAGCATCACCACCTCATGCTACACACTGTGTGGTTTTTTTCTTTTTTTTTAAGAACAAGTTCCTGTGTAATTTTACATTATTGTGTTTTTATTTTTTATTTTTTATTTAAATGATGTAAATATGTTTG